CTCGTTCGCGTGTTTTGGGCATTTTCTGCTTGAACTTACTTTCGTCTGTTTGTTATTTTTGTTTTGTTTGGTTGGTTATTTTTGTGTTGTTTGTTTGTTGTTTTTGTTTCGTTTGTTATTGTTTTATTTGTTTGTTTTTTGTTTGTTATTTTTGTTTTGTTTGTTATATTTGTTTTGCTTGTTTGTTATTTTTGTTTGGTTTGTTTATTTTTGCTTTTGTTTGCTTGTTGTTTTGTTTGTTTGTTATTTTTGTTTCGTTTGTTATTTTTGTTTTGTTTATTTGTTTGCTTGTTTTATTTTTGTTTGTTTGTTTTACTCATTTATTTGTCTATTTTGTATTCGTGTAATTATGTATCGAAGTATTTACTTATTTACTTGTTTATTAATTAACTAATTCATTAATTCACTCAGTTTATTTATTCATTTACCTTTTTATCTACTTGCTGATTTATTTTCATATTTATTCCTTTATCTATTTATCTTCTTGCTAATTTCTTTACCTATTTATTCATTTTTACTCCTTTTTCCAGATGTAGATATACGCGCATTAGTAGTCATGTTCACATACAGACAACAAACACATATACATGCCCTCATAGATACGTAGAAACACATATAGACATATAAACAGACACATATGACTATTGATACACACGCACAAACGTCTCTGTATATAAAACTATGTAGAATAAAGAATATGTATAGTCTTGTAGAAAAGGTACGAATGAGAACGTATATTTTCACAATACATGAGATGTATTTGCGTTATGAATACAACATGTATATCTGACGATGGTGTATTCGAAACCCGTTAGATACATCTCTGGTATCATATATTCTTTCTCATTCATACTTTTTCTACACTTGTCAACATGAATACAGATCTATTATATAGACATCACAGTTTTTTTCTGCATGATTACATATACAACACTTACACAAAAACACTCGAACAAGTATACGCACATACACAAATACTCATACTTAACAAGCAATTAAAAATATGCACAAAAATGAATCTGTAGGCATATACAAACACAAAAAAATGCATGAAAGTACATACACAAATGATTAATGGGAAATTAACATTCATTAATGAGAGGTTAAATAAAGGTAAAACAGCAAACATAAACACGTACATACACGATGAACACACGTTAGCACAGAAACATGTGTACACTTAACGCTCCCTTTACATACACGTCCGCGCCAACACAAACAGACACACATCCTCACACAAGCATACGAATTGCATATCATTCTTTTTATGTCTTTGATTCTCTCGCAAACATCGATAAAAGAAAACGATTTTGCAGAAGGGACTCTCGTTAACTTACAAAGCCGGGAGCTCCTTCCTCAGAGATCAGTCAAATTGATGGAAAACCATTCCTAATGCAAAACAATCTAATGAATTTCGCTTCGCATTTACCTCGCCAGTATCCGTAAGGTAAAGTCCGCCTGTTTGGTCTCACGTTCATTGAAAATGACGTTCGGAAACTTCATTATTCTCCCGATCCTACCAACTTCGGGCCCTACCTCCACCCCCTGCCAAGCGGAAAAGAGCCTTACGCCAGGGTTACGTAGGGACGGTGATAGCACGAGAGTCTTGTTTTGCAAAGCAGACCCCTTCCCGAGAGGAAGAGATTTAACATAATTTCTAAAAGCAGGGATAGGGTGGGGTTTCTTGAGCAATAAAGTCGAGTATTAGGGCGTGTGCGTTTTCCTCTTTTTATTTTATTTATTTATTTATTTATTTATTTATTTTGTGAACACTTTAAAGGATTCATATTAGCTATCGTACTGACTACATATATAATTTGGGCTATATATCAAGCCATTCAGTCCATACATTGCATCAAACTTGATGCACAGTATCATCAAAATTTGTGTAAACTTCATAAAGAGGTTTATACTTATTATAACGTAATGTATATGCTATCATCATATACTATTCAAATTACAGTGCCTCATCAATCATATGTACGCAACATTCTCCCCTACGTTGTCGACGAATAATGGAAAAAAATAATAATTGCAAGAAGAGGCAAGGCAGAAAAAAATAATACCTGGAAGAGAATAAGAGAGAGGGAGGGAGAGTAATTAAGGTAACAAAATAAAGTGTTTAGAATGGCTGTTAAAGTGGTTGCGAAATTGGATTACGAAAAGGTGACAACAAAAAAATACCGAATACAGACAAATAAGGGAGAGGTGAGCAAACGAACGTAAATCAAATGAACAATAAGGTATACAAGAGTAAAATAGGAAGAAGAAAAGAAAGGGGAAATGAGACAAAGAAAGAGAAAAGGGACAAAAAAAATCTTACAACATACAGTGAAGACAACAGAACAGAGCAACAAACTTTCACACAAACAACAGCAACGCATAAGTTCGGACGACTCATTCGCCAATCACAAGCTCCGCCTCCTTCCTCTCGACTGGCTGCGACAGAGCAATTAACAATTACCAATAATCAACGCCTTCTGTTAACCAAACCCTAACT